AGCATGATTTTACTTACAAATTTCGAATATGATCCGAACACTAAACCTTGACATGCTCCTATCAAACTAAATATGAGCTGAAGAAGGAATTACCTCTTCAATTACTCGGTCGAAATACCTCAGTTACTCAAGCTTCTCTTGCTCCTTGCTTGGTCGTGCGGTACTCACTTATGCCGTGTGATTTTTAATGAAAGATTTGGAGAACTTTACTATCACTTCTTGCTGCTATAAGTATGATATTGTTGCTGGAAATATAAAGGAGAAAGGATGCAAAATTTTTCCGCCCAAACACATATATATGTGAGATGGCCGATGGTAGTGATGACGTTGGTATGGTGTGGCTTATTTAGAGCTTGACACTTGCTACAAACTTAACTAGGTTGGAGATGACTAAGTGCTTTCTTAATTAGCCACGTTTCATGAGTAAAAATGGAAGGGAAAATAATTCTTCAAGCTTAAGAAACTTGAGTAAAATTTGGGAACTTATACTTACATATATATCTCCCACGGCTTTTGTTGCCTTAAGGGGATTTAGCACGACCTTTAGGCTTAAATTAAGGATTAATACTAATTAATCACTTATCTTATGTTTAATTATTTAATTAAACATAATGCTTAATTACCAAAATTATTCCGAACGTAATCGGTACGTCGAAAATAAATTTCGGTAATCTCGACTGAAAATAATTAATTCCGACAATAATAATCGATAACGTTATTATATCGGAACTAAACATAATTTATACCGATAAAATATCGGGATATTACACGGGGAATGACCTATAGATTAGGTCCTACAGTTGGTTATCGCAAGCGTGAAGGCCAAGTGCCCTTTCTCGTCAGTCGAGCAGCAAATATAGACAGTTAGTTGAGCAACAATTATATACAGTTTACTTATTTATATGCCTATCATTATGTTTTATCATATTAGGTGTATGTTTAGGATGGGATGTGTTTACCATATTAGATGTATGTTTAGTTCGCGATGCGTTAGTATAATGTTTGTCATAGTATCGTTTCTGCCAAGCTTTGTAGGTACTTGCATATATGCCGATGTCATGATATATTATTACATTAGTTTTATATTCAGTGACGGTTCCGGTGGAGCACATGGATTTTTATGCTCACGCCTCTCACTAACCATTTTTCAGGTGTTGGAGTCCCGTGTGGTGCGTGAGCTGGATGTGGTGGTGGTCATAAGCATGAGGATATTTTGATTAACATGTCATGTAGTATTATTGAACATGTTGATTTAAGCATTATGATTTCAAACTATTATTTGCTTCCACAGTTCACACTTGTATTTCAGATTTCAGACTTTTAGACCATGCATGATTTACCGGCTCCAGATTTCGGGAGTCAGTAAGAATACTGTTAGATGTATATATGCCTAGAGTCTTTAAAGAGATAAAGAACTAAGAGATAAAGCTAGAAAGTTGAGTAGCATCCCGCAGTTACTGTTAAAGTACTTTTGATATAAGTTAATAAGAGTTCTCGAAAATTTAATCAGTGTTTTCAAATTAATAAGCACGAAAAAAATACTCTAATTTAGTAATAGTATGCAGGGTGTTATTAAATAATCAACATGAGTTTAGAGCATTAACTTATTTTTCGGTCTTTTGTATCAATCATTGTCCAAACCCAGTTTCGAACATGTTTTGTCGATAGACACGATAGAGATAGATCGATATTCCGCATCGAACATTATTAAAATAAAAACTACTCTAGCATATGGTACTAAAACTGGAAAAGGCAGTAATGTTTGGGTACTCAAAGTCAAATTTCAAACTATACACACCAGAGAAATTGATACCAAATAAGTAAAAGGAAAAGTATTAATATTATCCCAACTCTATGAATGTTTGAATTTATGGAAATTCGGATGAAAACAATATAACTTAGAATACATGTATATGCTCTTTATTCAAAGGGTATGCCAAATGGCAATTATTGTAAAGCATACAAAACAGATCTAGTTGAAAATATTTAGGCTTGGAGAAAACATATATCTTGGATCATAGTTAATTTTATTCATAAAGAAGGTATTCCATTTGGATCCAAAATGTTCAATCCACTGTGACTGGTTGTCGTAGAACGCTAGGTACTTCTTGTACTTGATACCATTATTTCTAAAGACGGTCAAAAGCTTTTGGTTGAAATCATCAAAGACCTTGTAATCCTTGGGTTCACTCCTATGTAGTAATCCCAAAGTATAGAATATCTCCTCATCTGGTATCACTGCAGAGGTTTTATTACTCCATCTGCGCATTATTTTAATTTAATATATAGTTAGCAACATTTTTATGTAATTATGACATAAAATAAAGATAAAGTCACTAATTTAGATGATGAATTCATGAATTGTGGACTACTTTGTTGCGTTTAGTGGGTAGAAAAGGGGAATGGTAGGTGCATGGCCAAGGGTTGGAAGCAAGCCAGCCAATACATATTTATTGAAATTATTCTTTTGGGATCCCGGAATAAATAGAACGAGCCATGGATGAGCTTGCAGTGATCCCCGGTCGGGACGATCGAAGTCTCCAACTCTGTAAAGGAAATCGAAGTAGGACACATCCGAAGTGAAGATGAACATAGGGATGAACTTCAACTTGCCAACCAACATATGGAATATCTGTTACGAGGATAAAGAAAATTATTTATTAACTGAGATGTACGTGATTGAAATTGATACAATTTAATGATATAAATATATGATTGTAGTGGAATTAATCTGGCCTCGCTTGTAAGAAGAATTAATGGATATAGTAATTAATGAGTGTGTAAACATATATAGTACCTGGTGAACAATGTTGACAGTTTGATCATCGTAATACATGGCAAATTCAATGGCATATAAGACAGTATATTTCTTCAACAAGGCATCAACATCTTTTAGAGTGACTGAAGAATTGGAAGTTATCCAACCACTGGGTATAATGTTATTTACGATAATGTAACCTTCGGTGTAGTTTGGAAGATTGCTTGAAATAAGAAACTCTTGGTCATTTGAGAAATCAGGAAAGTTACTATAAATCAATCTCGTTACTATTGCCTGTGATTACAAAAAATAGATCGAATTATGAATATAATGGAAAAATGCCATAAATTGTGGCAATCAATAGTAATACATGTTGTCGGTAATTAAATGAAATACAATAAGTATAAAATATTACTCTTGTTGGCGCTTTTCCAAGTCTGATTCGTGCCTCTGTCATGATGCCAAACTGTCCAAGGCCACCGAGAAGGGCATAAAATAGGTCGGAGTTCAAGTCTGGTTTACAAAGTTTCTTATCTCCTGTACCTAAATGGTTATGCATGCACGAAGGTAATATTCTAACATACAAAAGAAAAATATGGTGACTGGTGAGAAATAAAATTAATTATTGAAACTTGGTAATACAAAACTCCTCGACCGGCTGGAACTTGAGTAATCGCCTTCCTTCTCGTCGGTTGAACGTCGTGCACCTACAAAGAACTCTCACACCGGAGGGGTTTTCTGGTGAAGAGCCTCCGAAGCTTAAGTCAGTGTGTATTCAATCAATTCTCAAGAGTAATAGAATGATCGTGTTGAAGAAGAAAGGCTCACCCCCTTTATATAGAGGTGAGATACCTGACCTAGGGCTGCCCGGATTTGATGAGCTGTCTGCCCTAACTGCCCGTCCGTACGCACCAAACGCGTGTGTCAGAGGTAGCCGTCGCCACTATCGCCTGCACCAATCCCCTTTGGACGCGTGTCCTCCTGCACATGGGATATGCTGTCAGAGGCGGTTATTGCTATCCACCACTGCTTTCTCGACACGTGTCCCCCTGCACATGGGGTAAATATTCTCCTGGAATTCTGTCAGAGGCTTCCTTCACGCGCCTGTGACTAGGCCGAACAGCGTGGTGTTAAGTCCTCGAAGTAATCGACCTGATGAGGTCGAATAAATTGCTCGATCGCGTATCTGGTCGAAGGATAGTTCAGTCGACAACCTTACTTGATCGACTGGTTAATTGCTCGATTCCTTTGGCTTCCTCATAATATGACCTCCTCGACCGGTTAACAGACTGGTTCAGCCTTGTGGGTATAATATCCCATATCATCTAGTCCCCCCACTCTAGTCGAATCTGAATGATTCGACCTAAGAGTAGATCAGCATTTATCGTCCTTCTGGGTGGTTCGTCGTTTAGATATCGACCAGCTGGTGAGCTTCCCGCTCACTTTTTTCGAATAATTATCCATTAATCCCTAGCCATAAAGTCATCCGCTTTAAGTCCTTCCTGTCGCATCCGTTTTCTGCCACGCGTCACGACTGTCAGACGTGCCAGACGCTTTAATTATTGCGCCTCCTCGCCTAACGCGTCCGTTTTGAGCTCCGTGCAAATTAATACTCCCATCGTTGGATCTGCCTTTAATCTGACGGCCCTTATCCTTCCCCCCTTTAATCACCCAAGTATAAATTCCACACTTAGCGTATTTTCCAACTTTTTCCACCCTTTCAATTTTTGAATCGCTCTGTGCCCAGAATTTCCTTCTGCAAAAAATCTTTTATTTTCTCGACGATTTCTCTGTCATATCCCCGACTGAAGAAGTGGGAAAGACGACACCTTTCAGGAACAAAGAGTCGGAAAAAGGAGAAAAGGAAACATCTTTGCTGGAAATTGAGAGTTATTTGGAGGATTTGGCTGAGATTCCGATCGCCGGAGGAGACTTAGGGTTTCCAAGGGAAGAGGAAAATGAGAAAGCTTCGAAAGTTGGGGATAATCTAAGTTTGGGCCAAGCGGATTTGGGCTTCATCATCGGGCCCAGGGAATTTTAAAAGCAGCAGGCCAAATTCAATCACAAAAGGATGTTATTACTTGTTATGTCTTTGGGCCTTATCCTTATTTTACAATTATGCTTTTCTGGGCAGAATCTTTTATTAGCCCATTTATAGTAATAGCTATGGGATAGTTTGTTACGGATGGGACCCACTTGAGGGTATTTGTAGCCAATTTGTTATGGGGAAAAAGGCAAGAAATGAATTAATCAATTTTCTATCTCTCTCTCTCTACTTTCTCCCTCTACAATTCTCTTTCTTCCTCCCCAATTCATCTTCTTCACAGTTTGATTTACAAAAATTACAGAAAATCATTAAAAACTAATTACACCTATTAAGAGCCTAACATTTGGTACCCAGAGCAAGATCCTGGCATGGCTGAGGGCACACGTTTCAAAGACCTACAGGAAACACAAAAGAAAATGGAGCAATTCATGCAAACAGAAATACTGAAAAGGGAAGCTGCAGAAATTAAGCTTCAAGAGCAGATTACACAGTTGGGCTCTGAGGTGAAAGCAGGTAACGTGGAGATGCAGTCACAAATTCAAGGCATGGTTGGGAAATTCGAACACCTCACTAACACTCTGGCTGCTATGCAACTTCAACTCCTGAATATGGATAAGAGCAAAACAACAGGTGAGGAATCGATTTTCGGCTCATACAATGAAAACAAAGTTGAAAGTTCATTTAGACAGCAGAAACTCAAAAACCACTCTGAACAACAAGACCATCCCCCAAACATCATTAGCCCATTACCTAAAATCGATTTTCCCCACTTTGATGGAAACAACCCTAGAGCTTGGATACTAAAATGCAACAGTTACTTCAGGATTATACCTAATATCCCTGATCAACAGAAAGTTAACCTAGCCTCCATGCATTTAGAGGGCAAAGCTGCTCAATGGTTTCAGAACTTCAGTCACAGGTGCCTTGACATTTCCTGGGCACAATTTCTGGAATTGATTTCTGCTAGGTTTGAAGAGCTTAAAGAGTCAAAGATCATTGGGGAATTCAACAAGCTCAGGCATACAGGCTCATATGCTGAATATATAGAGAAATTTGAGGAGCTCAGAGCTTGTATGTTGTGCTTGAACAAAGATTACACTGAGGACTACTTTATTGCTAGCTTTATAAGTGGGCTATCTGATGAGTTACAGTCTTTCATATACATGTTTGAGCCAACAACCTTACAACAAACTATGGATTTGGGCCGGAAACAGTTGGTAACCCTAGATGCCATAGCCAAAAAATTCAGAACCCCTACCAGAAATACCAACAACAATTACCAGTTACCAAAGAGGAGTGAGATGCAATTCAACAACTTACCCAAAAATGCACAGAATCCCCAGAAAAACCAAGTGAGGCTCCTTACCTCTGCTGAAATGGCTGCTAGAAGAGAAAAAGGACTATGTTATAACTGTGATGAACAATACACCTATGGTCACAGGTGTAAACACAGGCTCAATTACATGGTCATGACTGAAGAAGAGGAGGGGAGCTACCTACACTCAGCTGAATCAAGTGAGGAAGAAGTTCTAGACACCCTAGAAGAGTTCCAAATGTCCCTGAACTCTTTGGCTGGTGCAAGTGGTCTTACTACCATGAGGGTGTTTGGTAGTTCTGGAGAGCAAAAACTCCACATACTCATTGACTCAGGTAGCACCCTGAGCTTCATACAATCCAGTACTGCAAAGAATTTGAAGCTTACATTACAGACAGCCAAACCCATAGCTGTGAGAGTAGCTAATGGGCAAAGGATGTTGAGCTCACAGGTGGTGGAGGGATTCAAATGGAAGATGCAGGGACACACTTTTTCTTACCCACTGAGGGTACTAGACAATGAAGGGTGTGATATTATCTTGGGAGGGGATTGGTTGAAAAGCTGCACTCCTGTGGAACTAGATTATGAAAAGATGCATGTGGCAGTCAATGTGAAAGGGAAAAGGGTGAGGATACAAGCTCTCAAGTCTGAAACCTACTGTCAACATATTTCAGGCCCAGCACTCTATAAACTGATACATGAAGACTGGGAAGACACAATTGAGGGCATCTACTGGTTGTCTATCAACAAACCAGAAACAGTCAACAACAACTCAGAAGTGGACTACATCTTGGAGGAATTCCAAGATATCTTTCAAGAACCTAAAGGCCTCCCTCCCAGCAGGGGAGTTCAGCATCAAATTGTGCTCAAACCTAATAGTATTCCTAAGCATCAGTTTCCTTACAGGTCATCACACAACCATAAGGAAGAAATATAAAAGATTGTTAAGGAAATGCTTGAAGCTGGCATTATTCAGGACAACAAAAGTCCCTTTGCTTCACCTGTCATATTAGTGAAGAAAAAAGATGATACATGGAGGTTGTGTGTGGACTACAGATACCTTAACAACCTCACAGTGAAGCATGATTACCCCATCCCTGTCATTGATGAACTATTGGATGAGTTGCAGGGAGCTAGATATTTTTCAAAAATTGATTTGAGGTCAGGTTATTTTCAAATTTTGATGGAGGAGGAACACAGGTATTTAACTGCCTTTAGGACTCACAATGGTCATTATGAGTTCTTGGTCATGCCCTTTGGGCTCTGTAATGCCCCAGCTACATTTCAATCATTAATGAACAAGATCTTCAGGGATTATCTGAGGCAAAATGTGTTGGTGTTTTTTGATGACATACTCATCTATAGCAAAACATGGGCTGACCACATGTTACATTTAAGGCAGGTTCTCACCATACTGAGACAAAATCAGTTATATGCAAAGAAGAGCAAGTGTCAATTTGCTCAGGAAAGGATAGAATACTTGGGGCATATTATCACTCAACAAGGAGTTTCAACTGATCCTCAAAAAATTGAGAGCATGGTTAAGTGGCCAGTTCCTAAAACACTCAAACAACTCAGGGGCTTCCTTGGGTTGACAGGCTACTACAGGAAGTTCATCAGAGGCTATGGGATCATTAGCAAACCTCTCACTGACCTACTTAAGAAAGACCAATTCCATTGGAGTTTAGATTCTGACAGGGCTTTTGAAGAGCTAAAAAGAGCTATGACTAGTGCCCCAGTTTTGGCCCTGCCTGATTACTCAAAACCTTTCACACTTGAGACAGATGCCAGTGGAAAAGGAATTGGGGCTGTCCTCATGCAACAAGGACAACCTATTGCTTTCATGAGTAAAATGCTTTGCCCCAAAAACCAAGCCTTGTCCATCTATGAAAGGGAGTTTCTAGCTGTGTTAATGGCTGTGCAAAGGTGGAGATACTACTTGCAGGGCAATAAGTTCATTATCAAAACTGACCAGCAGGCACTAAAGCATCTCTTGGATCAGAAAGTTATGACCCCAATCCAACAAAAATGGATAACCAAGTTGTTGGGGTTAGATTATGAAATCAGATACAAGAAAGGGGTTGATAATAAGGTAGCTGATGCCTTATCAAGGAGAGGGGAAGATGACACAGATTGCATGGCTATCACAACACTGGTTCCTACTTGGGTCCAGGAAATCAAGGCCAGCTATGAGAAGGACCCATTTATGACCAAGGTTTTGCAGGCTAACATTATTGACCCTCAAGCTTATCCACAGTTCACTGTGAAGGATGGTCTGATCAGACACAAGGGAAGGTTGGTTGTGGGTAAAGGCACCACACTGCA